TGAAATTGATCAATTTCAAACAAAAGCTGACTGAAAAAACAAAGAACTACAGTGCATGGATTAACATTTGCCTGTCGGATAAAGGGCTTCAAGATTTCCTGGAAAATACAGTTTCACTGTGCAAAGATTTGCCGGCACAAAATACTGTATACATCAGATCTCGGCTGCGCTGCCTTCTGGACCCTCATGTCTATTCAGTTAAGAATTTCCCCAAATCTTCCTCTATTATGCAGTGGATCTTTCGTGAAGAAAAAAAGCAGCAAAAAAATATGTCTATATCTGAATTTGCTGATTTTATTCAAGTCCTACAGGAAATGAAGGATTACATACAGGAAGTTACTTATGACCCTATGTCTTCTGCAGCAGCAGTGCAAGAAGCAAAGGAAATAGCCACCTTAAATGTGAGCTTAGCTTTGTCTTCCTTTCTGCAGGCTCTAAGAGAGCGAACGCAGACAGACATCGAGCTGTTATTACTCTCAGTTGCAGCCAGCACAGGATACCGAGTGGAAAGTCACACTTTTCAGTATCTCCTCGGGTGCCCAAAAATTAACTTCATGTTAAAGGAAATGCAAACAGCACACGAGGAATATTTGAGTCACAGGGATCAAAATGTTTCCAGAGCTCAGGCTTCCCTGCTCTTGACAGGTCTGAGAGTGACAGCTGAATTCAAAGATGTAACTCCGGAGGAGAAGAATAAACGTTTGACTTTTATGAAACATCACATGGGAAAATTACTGTCTAATGAAATAGCAAATGTTCTTAAAAACCACAGTGCACGGAATGATTGGGACGTACTGGAAAGAGACTTAAATTGCCTTTTAAATCGGGATTTTGAAGCTGCAAATGATAATTTGCAGAAACAGGATACAATAAAAGAACTAGACGACAGCTATCAACGAGCAAAACCATCAAAATTAGAACCAAAAGTGCAATCTACTGATCTTGAAATATGTGGAACTATTGAAAACCAAGAGTTCCTTAATTTAATGAAGCGACTTGGACTTGAAAGGTACTATCCTAGGAAAATGGGGACAGACAGCTTCCATATAATTTCCAATATCTCTTTACATGACAGCCAGCCCAGCACAGAGGATAAGTTGCCATTTTATTTTTTGAAAAAGCTGTTAATGATGGACTATCGGGTCAGGTACTTGGTTTGTAAGGTTGACAGTAAAACAAAACCAAGTGTAACAAGAGTATTGAACACCTCAAACAGAGGCAGTGACTCCTCAGGTACGTTTGATGACATTTTTAATTATTTCTGTGAAGGAACCAATGAATCTGCAGGAACAAGGCAGACACATGTGCACCCAATGGACATCCAGATGGCAATTTTTCATTGTGCAGATGATTTCATGAGACAGTATCTTTCAACAAAGCTCGCTTTCTGCCAGTTTGCGCTCCCACTTCTGGTGCCAGATCCTTCTACTTCACAAATAGAATTCCCTGTTTTGGCCCTTAGCCAAGTTAAAAAGAGCTGGAAAGGTGCTGAAAAATCAGGAGAGGAGACCAGCATTAAAAATTATAACAAACTGATGTATCAGGCACATACACACCTGGTGTCCTTTATACGGATTGGCAATTCGCCTCATTCTTCTAAGTCTCAGATCCTGAATGCTCTGCTAAGTAAGCACGACATTTTTTTCCACCGTCACTGTAGAGGCAGCAGCAAAGATTGTGTCCTGATGAATGGGGTTGTGGAAATCTCCTGGTATTGTCCAGGTGGAAAGGATGACGATAGATTTGACAACTGCATTGCCTTCACTAATCTTCATGGGGATGCACGAGAGCACGAGCAACAAGTCACATTTTTACAGGAGATCGCTTCTATAAATGTGGTTCTCTTATCAGATACAGATCAGAATGATGAGGGGGGCAAGCAAATTATCCGTGATCTTTGGCAATCTCAAAAGCCTTTGATCTGCCTTTTTGCTGAAAAAGAGAACATTGTGCCTGGTAAATCAAGCCAGAATGTAGGAATAGGCATCAAGAACAGAAACGAGGCAGAATTAATAGATGAAATAACAGCAACAATCAGAGATTTTCTGGCAGGCTCAATTGCCACTTGTAGTCTTGATGCTTGTGTAAAAACTGCTCGGCAGCATGGCTTCCTCATTGATGAAGACAAGGAAGAGTGCAAGGAAGCCAAGTCAAAGGCAGAGGCATTGATGGGCCTCTTGCGAAAGCATAGCTTAGCAAGCATGAAGGAAGA